TGTGTGTGTGTGTGTGTGTGTGTGTGTGTGTGTGTGTGTGTGTGTGTGCGTGGGAGATAGTAGTTTCCCGACAAGGGATCATGGTGAGCCACAGTAACAAGTCTGTTATGACCCTGGCCAATTTCGAGATACACATCCACTGGAAAGTACAATGCCATCCAATTGCAGAAAGAAATGAATGAACTTGAGAGGAGAGAGAGGAGTAGAAGAAGAAGAAGAAGAAGTAAGAAAGAAGAAGAAGAAGATGTACACCTTCTTCGCCCAACAATCTCCTCCTCCTTATCTCCCCCTTTTCTTATTCATACAAGAAATAATAATACAATGTTGAATGACTGGTCCAGAATCATGTCCAAGTCCCTTTTCTACTGCAGGTATCACTCATGGTCCACCACAGCCATGGCCGCCTCTCCCACTCYTCACTCTCATAGGCCAAGGCTATGGCGGACTACTAGGCCTTGCTCAGACGTCCAAAGGACAACCCAAAGCAGCTATGACTGCTCAAGCTCTGGCCGCCATGCCCAACCCTGCCTTGAAGCTTCTTGGTGTGGCTCTCCCCGACTGGGGACTCCTTGCTGCAGCGCCCACCAAGGTGATGAAGATGGCTGCCACCATAGCCAGGTAAGTACCCCTGGCGCTCCTCCCCYTTCCTCCTTCCTTCCTCCTTCTTCCTCCCTCTAGTCCTCCTTCTTCCTCCCCAGCAGCGCAGCTCCAGCCCAGCGCTGCTCCCTCCGGCGCTCCACCAGTGTGTCGCCAAACTTGCACACCGAAAAAGAGGCCGGGTTCCGCCCGGCCGGAAGATATAGCGGCCTGCTTTGMCTCTTGGCCGGTGACTTCCAGGCCGCTGGCCTTCCCAAGCAACCGGTACCTCYTCCTCCTTTTGGAGGGAACATCATTGCAGACTTTGATATTGCCCCTACAGGCCCTAGACTCAGACTGGTACCCGCTAGACCTAGCCTACACTACCGGCCTCTAAAAATGCCACTTTTGTCTTCTTCTGCTCGGCCTCCGGTACCYGCATAYTTACCCCCCTGCCAGGTGCGGTACCGGCCTACCTGCTACTTGAGTGCTTTTTCCCCGCCGCAACCCTTCAAAGTCATGGCCACAGGTAAGTACCGGCCCTGAGGGCCCAACGAACGAACAAGTGTCGTGGCGAGCCACACACACACTCATACCAACCAGCACTCAGACAAGCACAGTCACACACACGCAAGCCAACCAGCACTCAGACAGACATGCAGTCCAGCAAGCACAACACACACAGACTTAGCAGGAAGGAACTCAGTAGGGCATTCAGTCTATGAGCAAAACTCAGAAATCAGCTGTGTGTTTCAGTCCGTGTTTGGACGGGTTATCACACTACCCCCCCCTCAAGAGCGAGGTCCCTTCGAGCGAGTAACTCATTCTGAGTCCTCGGCAAACGCATCGTAGGCGAGCAAAGCAAAGAGATTCCTGGAATACTCCATTGCAGAGAGCCTTGCTGAGATCTTCGGTGTGGCGTTAGCGGCGATCTGTCGCTCGTAAGCTTTACCAACGCGCGGTGTGTTGCGTAGCAGTTCCTGCTTGGAGATCCAGTAGAGATCGTCTAACGGGTGATACATAAAATGAACCTGGTATTGTCTGTTTCTCCCCTTACCTATATGCTGTTTAATTCTATCTATCTCATGCCCGCCCTTGATTGCGCGAGGGATCATATCTTCGCGGTAATCGAATGTCTCGGCATCACGATGGAGGTACAGTTTAGATGCATGGAACACAGGATATGTGCGCAGGTGAGCTGGCACGTCTACAACGTACGAAGGGCCAAAGTGATCTTCCCCAATTACATCCAAAACTTCCCAAGGCTGCTCAGGGAATAAGTAGGAGAGCGGATTACGGATCCGCCAACCGTAGTGCAACCTATTGGGTGTCATGGCGGTGGCAGAATGGACAGAGTTGTTATACAACCCCTTGACAGAATACAGCTCTTCATCCCATGTCTCCTGATCCGGAATGATCAACGCACGGAGAAGTTGGAATACAGTCTGGTTGATTGATCTCCTCAGCCAAACCGTTGGCTTCGGGGTGTCGGCCAGATGTCATGTACAGTTTGATTCCTAGGTGGGACGTGAAATCCTTCTATTCAGTGCTAATGAAACGCGGATCCTGATCGCTCACAAGAGTCTTCGGGGTTCCGAATTGCAGCAGGTATTTCTGATGGAATTCGCGAATCACTAGATCTGTTGGGGCGTGGGGCGGCAAAGGAATCAGATTGAGAAATTTTGAAAGTTGGTCAACAATCACCATGACCTGTGAATACCCGTTCTTGCTTACCTTACCCATGTCAGTGAAGTCGATGGAGACAGACTCCCCGGGACCATCAGGAATGGGTAGGGGTGTGAGTAGCCCCATGGGCTTTTGTCTACAAGGTTTGATTCGTTGACAGACTTGACATTCAGCCACAAATTTCTCAGCAGTCCCTTTCATGCCAGGCCAATCAAACTGTCTCAGCAGGTTAGCGTACGTTTTTGCCATGCCGAAGTGCCCGCTCCGGCCATGAGCCAAGTCCAGAAAGTGTGTGCGGAGAGGCTCATGGTTGGGCACACACAAACGGTCATGGTTTCCGTAACGACGAAAATTCAATCCTCCATACTCGTGGAAATCAGGCTGACTACTAGGATCAGCCCGCAGCTGCTCAAGGATGGAGCTAAGTTCCGGATCCTTGGCTGTCTGCTCTACGAGCTCCTCCTTCAGTTTCTTCCGGAGGTCGTAGGATTTCACAAGGCAAGTCATGTACTCAGGGTGGCGAAACAATGCGTCAACGACTCGATTATAACAACCCTTTTTGTGTCTTAATTCAAAATAAAAAATGTCAATCTCATGGAACCAGCGAAGCAAGGTAGGGGACAGAGTAGTCTGCTGTTTGATCCACTCCAAGGTCTCATGATCTGAGAAGACTTTGAAGTGGCGTCCCAAAAGGTAATGTTTCCAGTGATCCAACGCCATACGCAAAGCGTAGAGCTCGCGCATGTAGGTGGAAGTGGCTACCTTTACGATGGGTATTCGTTTGCTGTAGTATTCGAGTGGTCGCAAGCCATCGCCGTCATCTTGTTGCAGCACTGCACCGATTCCATACTGACTTGCATCCGTAGTAACTACGAAGGTCAGTTTGGGATATATGCAATGCGGAGTACCGAGTAACTTACCAAGGCTTCCTTGAGAGTTCGAAAAGCTTCCGTACACGCGGCATCCCAGGAATAAGACACATTTTTACTGGTTAGTCGCGACCAAGATAGAAAAACGGGGTACAAACTTCCGATAGTACGACGCGAGACCAAGGAAAGAACGCAATTTGCGAATGTTCGCAGGCTGAGGCCAATCACGTATGACCTCAATCTTAGTTGCCTCAGGCTCTAGTCCTGCAGCAGACAACCGGTGCCCAAGATAGATGATGCTATCCTTCCCAAACTCAGATTTCTCCAAGTTCAGATGGAGCTGCGTCTTCTTGAGGATAGCGAGCACCTCCTGAAGATGCTCGAGGTGTTCCTCCATGGACTTGCTGAAGATCAGAATATCGTCCATGTACACTACCACAAACCGGCCAATCTGTTCGCGGAGGACCTTGTCCATGAGGCTTTGGAAAGTGGCTGGTGCGTTCGTGAGACCGAAGGGCATTACGGTGAACTCATATAGCCCGTCATGTGTTTTGAATGCAGTTTTGTGCTGGTCCGCAGGATCGACTTCAATTTGGTGGTCGCCAGACTTGACATCGATCTTGGAGAAGACCTTGCACCCGCCTGCGGCATCAAGCAAGTCGTCTATACGAGGCAATGGATAGCATTCCTTCTCGTGATGCGGTTTATACCGCGATAGTCAATACACATGCGGAGTTTGCCTCCTTTCTTTGGCACAAACAACACAGGAGCACCAAATTCAGATTCACTTGGTTTGATCCACCCTTTGTCAATCATCTCATCGATCTGTCACCGGAGTTCCTCCAACTCGCCGGGTCGCATACGGTACACGCAACCCTTTGGAGGAACAACACCCTCGACCAACTCGATGGTGTGTCGAACCCGTCGCGTGGGGACTCCACGTGGCTCGGCCAAGACTTCCGGAAACTGATCGAGGAGGGTTTGGATGTCTGATGGGACAGGTGGGGGTGGGGAATCAGCAAAGGGATCACCAAGGTCCGGTCGCAAGTCGCGTATAGAGACGACCGAATCTGAAGTAGGATCATTTGGACTATTAGAGGGTAGAGAGGTACAGGTGCTAGTAGTAGAAGTACTAGAAGTAGGATCATAAATCAAAGTAGTAGTGGTACTAGCCGCAAAAGTAGAAGGCACATAAGTAGGACGAACAAAGGCAACATACAACTGTTCTTCCTCTTTGTGCTTGCGCCACTTCTTGTAGAACTTCAATGCATTTAGAAAAGTCACTGGGGATTCGTGCTTCTCATCCAAGAGGACAGGAAGCTCGTTCCCCTGAGCATCTTTGACCATGAAGAGTGATTCCTTCCACTTGGTCCATTCGCATTGGGACTGCCCAACCCAAGCCAAGAACAGCGTCGAAGGGGCACTTGTCAAGGACACAGAAGTTCAATGCATGGGTGACAGTCTTACCTTTGTCAAAGGTAGTGCGCACACCTTTGACTGCATGTGTAGAAGAGACAACTTCCTTGTTGCCAACTTGGGTCCGACAAGGGTTCTGCAGGGTCACTTGCTTCATCCCCAAGCCCACCTTGCGTATCCCATGTGGTGACATGAAATTAGCGGTAGCCCAATACTCCAAGTGGTAGTGGAAGTCAACCATCTCAGACTCCTCCCAAGGCTCGACATACAATACATTACTTACCTCAGCCTTGTCTTCAGCAGATGGTTGGGCTTCAAGGGAGGGCTGCTGATTTTCATCAGAACCTGACTCCCCTGCTGTAGAGTTGGTTGAATTTGACTCTACGTCCGGTTCTGGTTCCCCTGCAGCCTATAACAGTCTTGAACTTTATGATTTGGCTTTTGGCAATGCAGGCAAACCCCCTTCTTGAATCTGCCCCGCCAGTCATTCTCAGTGATTCGGAGATCAACCCAAGGTTTGGTAGTTGCATCCTTCGGTTTAGGCGGGATCTTAACTCCTTTGGGGAGTTGGACATAGCTTTTCCCGGCACTCCGATTCGGTCCCTTAGTGCTGGCAGTCTTTTTAAAGGCAGAAAATTTTTCTTCTTCTTTATTTGCGTCGGACTCATGGGCTGAAGAACAAGTATCGGAATCCTGTTCTTGGTCGTCACCAAGGGTGGGGTCATCCGCATCGGCTTCTTCTTTGGCCTCCAGCAGGTCATGCACAACAAAACGGTTGCTGCCCTTGAACCGTTTGCCGCCCATGGGCTTTTTGCTGCCTGCCGTGCTAACGAGGTTCATAACCTCCAGACTGACAACGCCCTTTATTAAGGTGAGTCAGTCAATGTATGCAATGTAGTCCCTGCCCAGGCGACTAGTGAAGTTAGTTGGAACCGCGCCCTTAACCACATCCAAGCAAGATTGAGCGGACAATTCCAAACCAGGAGTGGCAAACAACTTGCTTAGATAGGTCTGCAGGTTTTTCATGGAGCCATTCTACTAGCTGTGCTTTACTTTGTCAAGTTGAATCCTTGCTTTAGCAGCAACATGTGGGTCTTGGTATTGTGAGATAAGGAGTTCTTCGAGGGAGGCAACCGGGATGGTCCTTAGCCATTTGGCTAGTGCAGCCTTTGGGAACCCAACCTGTGTCGCTTGGACTCCTAGGAAGCCCCGTACGACTGGCTCGACATCCATTCCCATGATCACCGCCTGGTTCTCAGGTTGAGTTCCCAGAATCTCAAAGTAGGCCCTCATGGAGCCGATCCATGACTCGATGTCTTCCTTGCTGTCGTACTTAGATGGCAGTTGTACTGCCTTTCGGTCCACATAGGGACCGGCGTAGTTGGGACCAGCAGCAGCTGGTTCCGGTCTTGGGGCTGCAACAGTTGCAGAAGTTCCAACCTCATTGCTTGTTACGGCAACAGTGGAATCTGCACCTGCTACAGGTCCCGAGGGGATTGCTATCACACTCAAAGAAGAGGTAGAAGAAGATACAGTAAGAGGGGCAGAGGTAGTTTCGATTGCAGCTTCAGATCCAGGAGGTAGAGGAAGAGGGTTGACCACTTGGGCTTGTCGCAGGTCAGCCACCTCCTTTGTCAATTCATGGTACTTGAGGGTCATCTCAATCAAATCATCCTAAAGTGTCTGCAACTTTGCAAAGACTTCGGCGATCTGAGCGGTATGGGCCTCAAGATTCCTGATCTAAACAAAGGCTGTGAGGATGGACTGCAGTTGTTCCCCGCACTGCTCTTCAGTCAGTGAGGGGACAGTCTCTAGGAGGGTCACTTGCCTTTTTAGCAAGGTCTCCTTCCTCTCCTTCTCTATCTCTTGTTCCCGTTATATTGCACCATCTAAGAGTGCTTGCAGATGAGGTTTCTCAGCATCACTGGCTGCATCTAACAAGGCCCGCCATTGCGTTGAAGTTAGTTGGGCCATTTTTGGACTGTCAGTATGGACAGGTGGGTCAGAGAGTCGCCAGTCAGCAAAAGAATCAATCAGACTCTCAAGAGGTCCACTCCCCCTCGCGCTCAGACGAACACTCCTTTTCCCAGTCCTTGCCCACTTCAGACTATCACTTTCCCTCTCTCCCTGTTCTCTCTCCCTCCTCTCTCTCTCTTCTTTCAGATTGCGAGTCTCCACGGGCATCGGAAATGAACTCAGAAAAACAGATAAAGCTCAGAGAAGAGAAGGTAGAACTCCTAGCCGGAGCGGCATTTCATTTGGAAGTAGAGAACAACAAAAGAAACAGTCAAACTCAAAGAGAGGTCTGATTCAGCGACCCAGTGTGATCAAACTGCATACGAGGTCCTCTCGAGTCCAGTCTGACCAGCTCCGTGTCCGTACAACAAATCAGACAATGAGTAACTAAATGCAACAATGGAGAATTGAGTGGTCTACAGGGTGCGAGTCAAGCCACGGATGGTGCAATCAGAATACAAGCGAAACGTCAAAGCCAAGATCCCCTCGGCAGTGGGTGTCCAAATCCAAGAAGAATGAACTCATATCCCAGCCAAGAAGACAAGAGGTCAATGCCTAACCGATTTGGGTCCAGAGGCTCTCCTTGTTTGGGCCGGGTCCCGTTGGGTCCCAAGGGTCCCACTTGGTCCCAAGGGTCCCACGTAGGTCTCAACCAGGTCCCAACCAAGAGGAGTCCCACCTGAACTTAGTTCAGTCTC